TCAGTTGACATCTAGTTTGTTTCGTCTCTGACTTCAGTGAGGTCAGAGCTCTGATGGTCACTGAACCAGTCAGACCTTATGGGCTGTAACCCCGTGAACCTCTTCCTGGTGTCCAGTTGACCCTGGTCTGAAGAACGCGGCTGCTGATGTTCCTGTGAACATCCTCTCCCCGCCCTGATATTATTTCTAAATCCTTCTCCGTCTCTAGAAAAGTATGTCGTTGTTTTCTGTCAGCGACTCTTTTCTCTGTGTTTGTTGTTGTTGTCTATGATTAATGTAGTATCTGCGTGTACTTTTGGCTTCTATGCCTCTTTTGTTCTCTGCCCTGCTCTGTTGTTTCTGCCCCCCCCCCTCTCTCCCCCAGGTTGTGAGTGTGATTTTACCAGCTCATTTTCGTGGCATTGTTTTCTCTGACAATTTTCTCTCGGTCTTCAGCTGCTCACAGAGTCGAGGATGAAACAGTAATGGATCCTTTGTACCAAATACTACATATAAAAACATGCTGTTCATACTGAAAAATGTGTTTCAGCTGCAGCAAAAGAGCGAACAGTAAACATGACCTTGGCCAGTGACACTTTGGTTACCAAGGAGCTGATTGGTCCAAACGTCAGTCGGTGGGTCTCAGCCCAGCCGGGTCCTGAACCTTCACATGAATCAAATGTAAATTTCAGGTTCATTTAAGTTTTATTGTATATTCATCTACACACGAGTACACGGTGAGATGAAGTACAGTTGTGTACAAAGTCTGTTACACCTTTACCCCCCCACACTACATCTGTAGATTATATGCTGCCCTCTTCAGGCCTGTAGATACCGTTACAACCAACCTTCCCTTTTTTAGCTGCACCTCAGTGAAGTGACGGTTAAACCGTGATCAGAGCTGAAACTCCAGAAGAACAGATCTGCCCCAAATCATCGTCACGCTCCGACATCCCACGGGTACACGAAAAAGACAAGACAAAGATGCTTTGTTTTACTGGAAAATACCAGCGAAGAAGAGGCTGCGCCACTTCCTGTGTACGTGCTGGAACAGCTCCATCAACGACCTCTTGAATCAATTCACAGGAAGAGGGCGCCACAAAATAATGTTGATTCAAACGATGGTCTCTGTTGGTGGAAGTGTCCTGGTAGAGTATTACAGTAGTACTGCACTAATACTACAGTACTACAGTCCAGGTATTGTGCTGTGTTGTGGAGGACAGAGGACAGACGTCAGTGGACGTCCGTGGACGTCCGTGGACGTCTGTCTCACTTCACCAGCTGCTCTGGCTCCTTTGTCTGTGGACACAGATGCAGGTGGTCGGAAAAATGGATTTATTCTTGGACAGAAAAACCAAATTGGCTTGAGTGTCGGAGGAGGGGGGGGTGAGGGGAAGGAGGGGGAGTGGGGGGGGGGCTGCAGCAGGAGACAAACACAGTGCAGATGAGGAGGTGTTTGGATGAAGACCTCCTCCCTGAGTCACGGCCGGTACAGAGGTGTAGAGCGGTCAGCAGAAGGTTGGTGGTCAGTGCCAGCTTCATGGTCAGGAGCTGGACCCCAGCCCGCCCCCCCCGGTCCCCCCAGCTCTGGTCACACCTACATGATCGCTTTGTACAGACGGCACCGGCACGTTAGTAACCCAGGCACCGAGGTCACGGACTAGATGGTTGGACGCTGGCCACGATGAGATGAGGTCAGATGTCAGAGGTCAGAGGTGACGTGGTAGATGGAGGCTGCCGTACAGTTTTAGTCTGTTTTTACCTTAAAGATGTAAATAAGAAATGGAAAAAGTTGTCAAATGTCGTCGGTCACTGGGAGAGTGGTCGATGATGTGTGATGTCACCTGATGATGTGTGATGTCACCTGATGATGTGTGATGTCACCTGATGATGTGTGATGTCACCTGATGATGTCACCTGATGATGTGTGATGTCACCTGATGATGTCACCTGATGATGTGTGATGTCACCTGATGATGTCACCTGATGATGTGTGATGTCACCTGATGATGTCACCTGATGATGTGTGATGTCACCTGGTTCCATTCCCCTCACACATGTAAACAAAGATCAGCTGACTGAGGACTGGGACACAGACTGTGGACGTCATGTTGGGTGTTTCACTAACTCTGTGTCTCAAATACAAACAAATATATATGACAATAATATATATGTATTTGTTTTATAAACATCTCAGTTCATTTATCTCTTAACGTTACATTTGTTTGACTAAAAATAATAAAACTCCAGAAGAAAATGTTCCGTTAATGATGAATTAACTTTGATGACATCAGTTTGTTCCTCTGTCAGTCTAACTGTGCTCTGTGGAACTCTCTCAAAGACAGAATTACAGACCGCGGTCAGTACACAAGAGGTTGTTGGTGTGAATCCCAGTATCAGCTCCAAACCTGGAGACCTGAGTCCAGAAGGAGGAGAAGCAGCAAAGTCTCCACACGTCCACTTTCATCCAGACCAGGTGGGTCACCTAGTAAAGCAGGGGTAACCAGGGGTAACCAGGGGTACCAGACCAGGTGACTGTGGTCAGAGGTCAAAGTTCACGGATCATGACAGTTTTCTTTGTTTTTTCTTTCTAACATCTGCAGCGTCCACCTCCTCTGAAACTCTAATATTCCATATTGAATGACTCAGTGGGGGGGGGGGGTCGTTGGGAGTTTGTAAAAGTTTACAGACTGTAGTGATGTAATTACCTGCCCTGTGACCACCCTCAGCCGTTTGCCCTCCTGTTGCACGAACCGTGGCTGTGACTTGTTGAGCTGCACGTCACGTCACGGCGCCGCGGTGCGGCGGTGGAGCGCAGCTGTTCCTGGAGCAGCGTGAATCCACCGCCACAGAAAATAAAAGAGGCCTCAAATATAAGTGCTCTAATGTGAATTGAAGACTTTGTGTTTAAATCAGTGTCAAAGCGTGTGTAGAGAGTAACGTGGTTAAAGCAGTGAATGAGTGGAGATGAAATGTGTGTCTGCTCCACAGCTGTGTCTCATGTCGGCTTCACGGCTCTCACTCTGTCCTCCTGCTTTGGTCAGGTTTCAGGTGGTTCTCTCTCAGAGGAGGAAAACAAACGTTCTCCCCCCTCCCTCCTCAGAGGAGACTTCGACGAAGAGGAGTCGACGAAGTCTTTTCAGGAAGCTCTCAGGCATTGGAGGGGGGGGCAGACTAATGGAACAGCAGATCCTGGGAATGATGCAGCGTGGACTCCTGCTGGTCCAGGTGAACTGAACAGACACCACAGTGACACACACACACACACACGTTGGACGACTGTGTGTGTGTGTGTGTGTGTTTTATTAAGCCTCTTATTTTCCTGGCTCCACTGCTTGGACTCACTCCTCTGACTCTTTCTTCTCTCTTCCACTCTGCAAATTGCTGCTCGACCCTCCAGCGCTAATTATTTCTGTCAAGCCAAAGGCAACGTAGCCCAATTTGATGCTGCCACTGTGGACTGCCAAAGTGTCTGGAGCACCATCATCCACCTCCTCCTCCTCCTCCTCCTCCTCCTCCTCCTCCTCAGTCTATTCTGCAGCTCCAACCATGTTCTTTTTGAACCAAATCTTTTTTCTCTCCTCTTCCTGGGGGGCTTTCTCTCCTGACTGTTTGTGTTTTGGTTCTCTTGACGTAATGACAAGGTGTTTTCTCACTTCTGGAGGGGAAGTGTTTTGAGGAGGCTGTTAAGATGCTGCAGTGGAGTTTTTTTTTTCTTTTTTTTTCCTGCTCTATGTCTAACGTTGTCTTTCCTTCAGGCCATATTTTCATCCACTTCCCCTAAAGTTACTTCTCACCTCTCTCTCCTCTCATGATTATATCTGCAGGATCTGTTTCAGCCACAGCAACCCAGGCCGACCTGAGTGAAGACGAGGAGGCTGAGGGGGGAGGAAGAGGACGGGGGCGAGGAACAGTACCTGTCAGGGTGGAGTTCACACCCAACCATTCCTACATGGACAGACT